TGCGTCGTCGCCATGCGTATTCATGAACTTCATCGCCCTGGAGCTCTCTGAAGGTCCCCTGCACAGTTTTGAGGGACAAATTATAGATGTATTTGGATGCTGTGCGGAAGCTGAGTGCATCGACGGGCGGTAGCAGCTCAAAGATGTCCAGGATGAGCTCTGCGGGAAGTTTCGCCAGGGGATTCGCACTGTCGGCGTGACACGTCTCGCTGGGTGCTTTCAGTGGCATCAATATGAAGTTGGGATCTGCCCTGCTACATGCGCTGCGAGATGGCCCATGAGTATTGTTATGCGTGCGTCGGTGCATGAAGTAGTCTTTTGCGGCAGCAACATTGTGTTCAAGTGGGCGTGCCGGTGCACTGTACACGATCTTGGGGCGACCGGTTGTCGTCATTCTGTGAGTTTGAGGCTAGAGCGGAATTTCTCTGTGGGTAGAGAAAAGGAAGATGGTCATATGGTGGATGAGCAGTGCTCGGTTGAGGTTTGTTGGTTATAAGTACAAGAGGCGAGGCAGCAGTGTGCGCTGATGATCACGTGCGCAAATACGCCCATGGTTTGATTTAACCCCTTTGGTTGGGTCATCTTATCAAAAGCAGAGGGTCCTAGAGATGCGATACTTCTTTCTTTCGTAGAGTGTCTCCTCGCGTATAAGTTGTATGAAATGCGGGAGGTGTAGTTGGCTCGTCATCTCTGGGTCGCCTTTTGGTTATCGCAGTACCGTGGAATGGCAATGATTAAACCATGGACTTACTTGCAATGGGAAGACATCTACCCACGCATCTATTCACTGGTATATTTTGTCAGTGAGCAGAACAAGTGAAGAGGAGATGTGCTTGTATGCCCAGGTGTGATGGGTGAATTGGTTCATCGGGGCATAGCTGTCTGTTCAGCCCAAGTCGCTTCCCTGCATCTTCTCAATACCATGAACCGATGTTTCGCATATCCTAGTCTTGGAACACATTTAGCAGTCTCCTACTTCTGAGCATCAACCACTGGACGCTGCGTACTCGTCATCCAACTCTCCCCTCTAACCGTCGTAATCTTCACCTCCCTAGAAGTCTCAACAGTAATCCCAGCCTCTTCCAGACGAACCATCATCCCAGCTATACAGCCCGGCTTTGCACAACTCGAAAACTGAAACGCCTGGTACGGAGTAGAATCATAAAAACTATGCTTTCGCTTGCGACGGCGGAAAAGCGCATCTTCTATCATAGATCCAAGCATGTCGCAGACCTTTTCTTTACTGTTTCCATGTGAACAGACGTACATGTTAGCGTTCTGCATGACTTTGCGGAGGGTTGACAGTATCGCGGATTTGGCGGAGAAGGAGTTGCAGTGAAGTGTACCGCCTCTGATGGGGAGACAGCCTGGTGTTGGCCACATGTGTCGGTTACTTCCCAAGGGTAGGAACATTCTTTGAGTTAGCGAGCAGTAGTCTCTCGAAGTAGTCGACTTGGCCCCTGACGTGCAGCTTGCGGCGCAAATCGTGCACGCAAGACTATTGGCGGGGCTTTCGTGGAGTTGGTGCAAAGCTTCAAAGCTGAGTTGTATGTGCGGACACAGATACACTTTGGCTGTTGATGCTGTACAGCGTCTTCGGTTTGTGCCTCCAATGCCATGTGTGGATGTTCCAGCTGCTTCGAAGGAGGAAACCGGGTGTAGGTCCATGCAGTAGCTGCAGAGGAGCTTGCCACGTGGAGTGTATCTGTAAAGAGCGTTATTAGAGTCCTCATACTCCGCCATCCTGTTGAAGCAGTCCTTGCGATGCTGCCATGCGTGTTCTTCAAGATCTTCAGCACCTAGTTGTAGTAAGCGCGATCGAGCATCCCTCGTGCACGTCAGACTCCGCATATACTTGCATGTTGTGCGGAAGCTGAGTAAGTCGATTGGTGCTAGGCGGTCTGCGATATTCAAAATTAGCTCTGCTGGCAACCCGGGTAGATTGAATGTGTTGCTAACCTGAATCTTGCCGATTACTTGTGGCGGCATGAAGACGAATTCGGGATCGGGTTTGTTGTGGTTGTTGCACCATGTTCCATCGTCATCGGGGTTGTGGTAATCGTAGCATCGGTTTCTCATGGCGCGATCGAGGCTGCGTCGATACATGAAGTAGTCCTTGGCGACAGACCAGTCGATATGGTCGTGGGTCGGTATGTCATCTGAAAGGCCGGGGGCGACAGTATTCGCCATCTGAGAGATGAACTGGAGATGACTCGTCTAGGACAAGAAGGAGCAGTGCCGAGGCGAAAGTGTAAAGACATGAAGAGAGAGAGAGCGACAGAAACTCGATATTTCAGGCAGGGGCTCAGGCAGTAGCTCTCACGTGCTCGCTTCTCTCTGGACCCTGTTGAGCTGGCCGTCCCACCACATGTTCTGAGAACGATACGCTTACCATGGAATGGCAAGAGCTGCACCAGATTCCCAGTTTGCGCTCCGCATTACACACAATCCTCAACGTGAGATCTCTATTCCCCAAAGCCTTGGCCTGCTGCTCTTGTTGCGCCATGCTTGCGCGTGTGGTGTTGGTTGCCACGCGTTAGATGTGTGGTGTTGAATATAACTTTGTCAAACAGTTCAGCACGAAAGCTCAGGATTGGTCACTGAATGGTCTTGTTAGCGAAGACATATGTTAAGAATTTGATAGCGATAATAGCTGCCTAGATATCCATAACCCCGTTCCCATCTAAATCAAAACGCCGGGACCTGTCTGATCCCAAGTATACCCACAGACGCCGTGCCACCCTATAGTATCATTTTGAAGCCAACAAGCGAAACCCTCTGTCCCAAGTTCCAACAAATCCACATCTACTGATGTATCTGACTCACATGCCCCGCCTGCCCAGCACCACCCCACTCACTATCATCATCACTACCCACGTCCGTCCAGCTCGTAGGCGTCATAATGCCCTGCCTGTCGCCGTCAAACTCGCTGAAGCCGCCCTCGGAGAAGGCATCTGTAAACCCGCTTTCTGAACGCGCGTCGTGGTCTGTGTCGTTTTGTTCACTGTTGGGCATGCTAAGGATGGCGATGTCGTTGGCGTGGGCGGAGGCGACGGAGCCGCTCATGGTCATGGAGCGCTCGGAGCGCGGGGTTAGGGTGCCGGTGGAGAGGTGCTCGGCGTCGTTGTCGTCGAAGAAGGGATGGGAAGGAGTGGGTTCGCCTGCTTGCGAGGAGGTGAAGGAGTAGAAGGATTGGGCGGCTTGGTCGGCGTCTTCTTGGGCGGGCTGAGCGGGCGATGGGGTCTCGGGGAGGGAGTGCTCGGGGTCGGGTGTTAGGTCGACGAGTGTGCCGGTGGTGGGTGTGGAGGGGACGTCGGCTACGATTGTAGCAGAGCTTTCGCGGGCGGCGGGTTCTTCGTAGGTGAATGGCTTCGGTGAGGGCGCTTCGTCTTCGTCGTGGTCGAAGAGGACTTGGTCGTCGGAGAAGGGGTTGGCCATGGTAGCAGCGGCAGCGGAGCCGGCGGCAAAACCAGCAGCACCACGCTTCTTGAGATTGCCATTCGAGTTGCCTGTGCCAGTTGCCGTTGCGTTGTCCCTGAGCATGCCATCACTGCCGACCATGTCGTCGAAGCTTCTCGTCCGATCAGCTCTCGACCGCCTAGCAGCCACCTCAGCCGTCTCAGCACCGATCCGAGCCAGCTCATCCAGGTCGACAGCGATACCCTCTTCCCTTGCCCGCCTGATCAGCTCATTCCTATTCCTCCTGATCAACTCCTCCCTCCGTTGCTTCCTAGCTTCGAAGTCATCGGACGATTCGCTCGGGCGGCGAGGCTGAATGTCATCGCCAAGGTTATGCAGCGCGATGGCGATCTTGCGGCGGGTTTGGTCGGCCCATTGTCGCACCTGGGGAGACTCGTAGATGGCGATACCGGCGGCGACGATAACGGACGCGGCGATTATGAGGCCTGATGTGAAGGGGTGGTTAGGACGGTGCGGCGGGGTTTGAGTGTTGCCTTGCGGAGATGCGAAGCGCGGGCCGGTGCCTGCAAGCAGGTTGGCATAGGAAAGTACAGCAGACAATAGAGGAATACGCGACAAGAGAAATAACGTTGGATATGCTGGGGACACCGCAGCAACATGCATAAGTGGAGTTATCCGTACTCACCTTTGGCCAGTGGCGCAGGCATTTCTGCGGATTTTGTAGCAGCGAATGCAGTTCTGCTACTGAAAAAGGTTCCCTGATAATGTGGTGGAAAGTGATAATAGGGAGGAGAATCCAGAGGCTTTTGACCTTGGAAGATTGGTGTAAGGAGAGAAGGTTCGAGGGCTGAGAGCAATCATGGTTCGTCCGGTCCTTCGCCACTTGCACAGCCGCACATGCAGGGCCCGTGGAGCTGGGGGCTCCGGGCGGCTTTTGGTGGGGTCGCCTGCCGCCAATCTTGCTGCACATCGCCCCGCACCCGTTGGACTAACTACATAATAGTTCCCCTGGAACAGCATAATTCACTCATAGTTGCGCATATCTGGAGATAAGATAAATTCATCATGAAGTGGGCTGAGTATCACCAAGGTCCACACGCGTACATTGTGGTGTCAGCTCACTGGGAGAAAAGTTTGGGTCAACTTGACGATTACACGCAGAAAGTATGCATTGAAATAGTCAAATAGGCTTGAATGTATGCAAGAACGAAATAATAAGAGACACGCTAAGCACCAACTGGCCATGTGTAGTCGCCAACCCAAATCTACCACCCGAGACCAATTCTGTGCCTGGACAATAGATTCTGAACCCCATAGTCGGAACCCTCGTCAGAAGTGTGGAGCTCATACGCATAGCCTCGATCATCAGCGTCATGCCAGACAGCTTGCGCGATCAAGCTAGACCGTTCGACCGGAACGTGGGGAAGATGCAAACAAGACTTTTTCAAAGAAGACAGAAGGAAAGAAAAATGGTGATGAAGAATACGGGCAGTAGGAATCGCCAGTTCACAGCTCGTGGCGATCCTCGTAGCAGCCGCGCTTCATCGAAGTAGAAGAAGTATTATAGCTAGTCCGGGAGTTCAGCGTTTGTAGTCTTTGGGCCGAATGGTCAGCTTGCGTGATTCATGGCCAGGGGAAGCGATGAGTATCTTGACTGAAATGCTGGTGGGCTTGGGGGTAACGGCGTTGCCAGAGTCATCCGTGGCATCGGAGTCAGCAGGCGCATTGGATTTGGCAGTAGCATCGGAGTACGATAGTCTGGCACGCTTCAGTTCGGCCATGATAAGACCTGTAATCCTGGCGTCCTCCTCTTCATCATCGTCCATATCATGCTTGCGCTTCTTCCCAGTAGCCGGGGCTTGGTCGGTAGCAGTCGACTTTTGAACCCAGTCAGGCACCCACATGGTCTTGGCCATGTCCCAAATCCAGGGCTGCCCGCTGTTGGCTATGCTTCGGATCGGACGACCGGGGTCACGGGTGTGCAGTTCCTTGCCATCCCACGGCCAAACATTCATGATCCTATCATCGGAAATGGACCCGCAAGACAGCCACTCGTAGTCATGACCTTTCGCGCAAATGGAGTCGCGCTTGATGCTGCCAGAAGGTCCGCTGTTCTTGAGGTTGGAAAGGCGAATTTCTGTAATGGATACCCACATGTCGGCGCCAGATTCCGTCAACTGCTCCGGGTCGATGGTGTTGCCATACTTCTTTCGTGCTTTCTTGTGGACCCACGCAGGGATATCGACATCTCGCCAGACCTTCTTCCACTTCTTGACTTCGGCATGGCCCACCTCTTTTGTGTAGATGCAGATCTTGGACTCAACCTGGGCGTGTACTGTTACTGGTTCCAATCCTTCTGAACTGATGCGGGCGATGCTGACACGTTGACCGATACGCTGACTCTCGTCGTGATGAAATCCAGCCCTTCTCTTGGCATGGCCTCGAAAGTGTCAGTAAATAAACATGTCAAACGATAGAACAATACTTACAGAGCTCGTTAAACACAGATATGAAAGCAGAAGGGTCCTTCTTCTGGTTCCATACCAGTTGTCGTTCGATGCCTTCCCTGTGCAGATAACCGTGGACGTTGAACTTTGCTACAGGCTGGAACGCCATCCCCGCCTCCATCTTGAGCTTGTCATCGGTACGATGCTTCGTATGCATGTCGACAGGCACGTATTTACTCAATGTCGCCGAGGTCTCATAGAAAGTCCTGTAGAAGAAGTTTGGTACCGGCGTGCCGTGACTACGAAGACGTTCTGCTAGGTTATCGAATGTGCTGGATCTTGTAAGTATGAAGTCAAAAAAGAGACACGAAAGATCACACTTACATTGTGACGGGATCTAGGAGTACCGACTCGATGACTCTGCGCTGGTTCTCGGCAAGTTGGCCATGGAAGTCCGAATCTTCATCCTCACCCTCAAGACTGGCCTCTGCAATGGCGGCTGCGGCAAGGTCTATCACGGAGGGAACAGGAGAAGACCTCGAGGGCTTGTGAGACTTTGAGGGTTTGCGAGGCTTTGAGGGTTTGCGAGACTTTGAAGGTCTGGGAGACATTGAGGGTGTTGGAGACCTCATGATCTTATCAAAGAATGAAGTGCTGAAGGCTGATGTCTGTAATGTGGGAAGTGTAATAGGGAGATGGGAGGTAGAAGGATGATGAAATAGGATTGTGAGGTACCAAGAGACATATTATATATTGGTTGAAGCAACGGGACTAGTACAGACGGAAGACACCCATCTCTCACCTGGAAAGACGCGTGGTAAAGGCAGGCGTCAAAGATCTTATCAGCGGTAAGAGAAGATGATGGGGACGCCTGGCCAATTATTCTAAGAGACTGCGGCATTGTGTTCGAAGGTGAGAGTAACGCTAGAGGAGGATGCCATAGATGTATATGATCATGCAGGCATGTAAGAATAGAGTGATCTGATTTTGGTGGGTGATCAAGTTGGGATTACGAAAACATTGCGTTGATGGATCTCTATACGATAATGAGCACTCGACTGTAATGGCTGCATGGCTATACCGATTCTCAAGGCTGAGTGTGATAATAGACCTTGACAGCGAAAGTTAATATGAATGACGGATCGATGTGATGGTGAGGCTCTAATCGTAGTCAAAAACGTCGTTGATGATGTTGGAAGATGCAGGTCAAGCTCGGTGTAGCTGGCACACCTTCCGCCAAGACTTCCGCGCGCCTGATTGGCGGTCGCAACCGCGTCTCAGCGAGCTGCCACTTGCGACACGCAGCATTCCGAGGTCGCACCACCACATTTCTAGAGATCGTGATCGGACAGCGCTTCCTACAGCTGCAATGAGTTCCTCTATAGAAACCGAGATTCTGAACAAGTACAATCTCACGACACTGTACCCCGCAACCTGGCCGCAGGAGAAGGACGAAGCCGACGAAGAGGATACGTTCGACGAGCCCATACCCAAAGCCACGAAACAATCGATACGGCGGTCCAAATCACGATACTCAGTGTTAGAGCCCAGTGCAAGATTCTCGCGGCAGGTCCCGGGAGCAGAGCGCTCGAAAGATGGCGTGGAAACGTTGGTTCAGAAGGACGAACAGGACCCGTTGGGCATGTACCCCAGTGTAGTGCAGGTGCTGCGGGCGAAGAACATTCAGGTTGAGGATGACATCAAGCTGCGTACGTCCCAGTCATATAGCAATAAACACAACGCCTGTCTAATGGACACACAGGCAATCGCTTCCTCTTGAGCTCCACCACCTTCTCGCCCTCCCTCTTCCTCTCGCAAGTTCACAATGAAGCCTCCACCGACTCCCTCCTCGCCGGTCTTGACTTCCTTTCCCGGTCGATCGAGAAGAAGTCTGCTTCGCTCAAAGTCCTCGTCGAATCCAACTTCGATCGTTTCGTAGGCGCGAAAGCTACAATCGACCGTGTATACAATGAGATGCGGGACCAAGGGAAGGAGCAGGTGGAAGCGCCCAACAAGGATCTACAACCTGGCACCGGCAGACCCAGAGCTCGATCGAGCTTCTCAGGCAGGAAGACAAGCGCATCTCTAACACCAGGCATGGTCGACGCGGTGCCTGCGGAGAAGAGGAAGAATGCGCTCGTCAAGGAGAGCGAATACGGTGTTCATGGTATCAAGGTTCCGCTGACCGAGGTCGCGGTAAAAGCGGAAGAAGTCTGGGGCCCAGCGTTGAACGGACGCGAGCGGGAAGAGACATTGAAGTCCATCATGGAGTCTGTGGAGCATCACCGAGGGTTGTTCGAAGTAGGATCAGCCATTCAAGATGCCATACGCCGGAAGGACCACGAGACAATCACCGAAGAATACAAGCGCGCAAGGAAATACGCAGACGAAGCCCGATACATTGTAGAACAGGCCACGTCTACTCAGAGGCCGCTGACCGATGCCGAGATACATCAAGTCATTGTGACGGCTAGGATGTGGTCAGACGTCGAGCGGCAGATTGAGCGTTTCAAGCGCGAGTCCTGGAAACGCCTGACTGCAGCGCATTTCACGCACCTACAGACTGGCACCGAAGACACCAAGTCTGACGAGTATCTGAGCATCATCTCAATCATGCTCGAGCTGGGTGTGGAGGAGAACCCGATTTGGGTGTGGTTGCTCTCACGCTATGAGCACCTCAAGTTCCAGCTCAACTCCAAGTGCCAACACTCGCTTGTTGAGATCGAGATTCTTCGTCGTCATCTGGCGAACGGCGAGAAGCCAAGCATGCGCATGCTGCAAAAGCATCTGCGATCAGTCCCTACTAGCAGCAACGTCAGCGCTGAGCCTTCGAAGCTTGACACCCCGAAAGTGACGGAGTTCTGGGAACACGTGTATGCCTCAATGACTACACTGCTATCAAACAAATCTGGGTTGCTTGCCGAGCTAGTTGAATATTGGGAGATCGTCCAGTCGTTCCTCTCCGGTCGCGCGCAACGAAACTTACCAACAGGCCATCACAACCAGTCATCTGTCCACCACCGCCTGAGTAGTGAGAACAAAGCTGAGCTTGAGAGAGGTACGACCGAACTCATCAGTATCCTGCGGGACCATCTGTTCTCGTTCTTCTCGGATCCTCCCATTGAGGATGTGTCCATGCTCATGTCACCACTGCCTATGAGCCCGACGCCGACCACGCCAGGTACGCCACTGAGCGCAGCGTTGAGTCCCATGTCCGCATCAAGGTCCAGGTTCGATCCTGCGAAAGCGCCACCGCCATCACCTAGTCGCGGTGAATCTTGGGAGAAGTACGCTTTTTGGCCACCTAATGCGAATGCGCTTTCAGGATCTCACTATCTGTCCAAGATGCTTGTCTTGATAGGCACCGCCGCCAACGAACTTGCATCGCTTCAAGTTCCTGAGTCTGGAGGTAGCGGTCGCATCGACGAAGCACTGCGCTTGCTCCTTGGCGGTGTCCGTGAGCGCTGCATTCAAGCTGTATGCGCAGCTTGGAACACTGATGCCGAGAAGTTGAAGGTGCTTGAGGATTGGACTCGTCACGTTGACCGCAAAGATACCACGAACCTACCTCAGCGATTCCTAGCAGTACAAAGCTTTTTGCTTAACAACTTGCAAAAGATACTGTATGTTGAGGCATCGAGCAAGACGAGAGTGGACGTTGTTGTACCACCGAGCAATAAGCTGCTGCAAATGGTTAGGAGTCAGTTCGTCACCAGCTTGTACAGGACGCTCAGCGGGATGGTTGAATGCGCGGAGCGAGGCAGGCAAGCCTTGGGTGCCGAGTTCGAGATCAAGAGCGATGATCTTACTATCGACGAGCAAGATGATCAGAATGGTAACGACTGGGGTAGGGTCGACGCCAACAAGAAGGTAAGCACACATGTCACCCATCTGACTATATCCACTAACAGCTTCCAGTCCATCCGCCTCCTCCTGACCCTCGCCAACATGTCCGCCTTCCAATCCGAAATAACCCCCCAACTCCTCACCCTCTTCGAAACCCTCTTCAGCGTCCAACTAACCGACGAAACAAACCGCATCCGCGACGTCCTCTCCCAACTCGACGCCCAACTCTTCCGCTCCTACACAAAACCGCACGCCACAAGAATCCACTCCACAATCGAATCCGGCATCTTCAGCCCCACTTGGGCACCTCCCCCCGACAACCGCAAAAGCGTCGCAGATCGCGATCCCTCTCCTTATGTCTTCACCGTCCTCTTGGACCTCGTAATCGTGCACACCGAGTCATCCACCACATCCGCACCCCTAACCCCACGCATCCTCCGCTCCTTATTCGAAGCCACAACAACCTCCCTCATAACGACCTTCCAATCCGCCAACCTCCCCACCATCTCCCTCCCGCAACTCATGCAAGCAACCCTCGACGTGGAGTTCATGGCACAGACGCTCGCTTCGTACACCACAGAGAAGGCATCGCAGATCCAGACGGATATCTACCAGGTGCTGGATCAGAAGACGGATAATGCGGCGAGAGTGAGGCTGCAGGAGGAGTTGGGGAGCTTGAGGGTGAGCTTGAAGAGGTTGAGGGAGGGGACGAAGGTGCAGTTTGCTTGCTTTAGGAGGGTTAAGAGGGGGACGCTTGCGGGTGGTGCGGGTGCTGGTGGGGCGGAGGAGGAGAGGAGGGGGAGGTAGATGGGTGTTGGGGGTTGGGTGGAAGGGGAGGGAGGTTGGTATGTGATAGGGATATGTTCAAGATTGTTGATAACGTTATGAAAGCTGTGTGTACGTGATATGCGTTCACGTATTCGATCTTGAAGTCCGGCATTGAACCACCGAACTTGAATGCACGCAAGTATTAACTCTGCCTTTTCGTGCCGCTTCCTTTACGATACTTCTCACATTCCTTTTCAAATCCCGTCCAAGCACGTAATATACAAGCATCTATACATTGCACACAAGCTCTGACATGACGCTCATTAACATGCCCACAACAGAGCCCCGCGACGCCGTCGAGGCCGCCCTCGACCTCCTCTGCCGCGCGCGACATGACCCTTCGCTAGAACCAAGCGTTTGGGATGAGGTCGTTGACACCTTTGATGAGCAACAACATGCGCAACTTGAGGATGTGACGCGTGTTCTACGACTCACTTGGCCGACTGAGGTGCCTTTCCCGAACATGATTGCTTTGGTGAGGTGGCGGGAGGAGGCTGCACGAATAAGTCACTCATCGTGAGGGAAGGCGAAGATGGAGGGGAATGTAAGGATGTGTATGCAACTAAGTCTGATGGCTAGTATGCATTCTTCGTTATGAACTACCACGTCTTTCCAATGTGCCACTACGGTTTTGCGTACTCTTGTTCTGGAGAGGAAGCTTTAGTCTGTTGCAACCAACAGAATTGTGTCGCATGCTGTCGGAACACCGTGTTCGCTTCGTCTTCCTCGTCAGCGTCCCTTGAGGATGGTCTTGCCGGTGAACGACCCGTATATGCATAGCTGGCTTCATGACCCATCCCCTGCAGAAGCTAGGAAGCGAGAATTTAGCCATGATCGGCTTCGATGGTCACCCAACTCTTCCACGCAGCACTTTCATCTCCAGTACCGTCTCTCCTCACCTCTCCCACTGCCACATTTCCACCCTGCCTTACGTCGC